AAAGGCTTTGTTTTCGTGAAGCTAACGAAACCGTCAAACAGTTTGTGACCAGATTGAGACAGAAAGCCCAAACCTGTGAATTTGGAGACGCAAACGCTGTAGAGTAGTAAATTCGTGATCAAGCTATTAGTAAGTTTGTCACACGAACTTCGTTGAAAGTTACTTCAGAAGAGTTAAGCCTTGACTCTGCAACAATTGAGAGAAATTGCCCGTGCTATGGAAGAGTCTGAGTAACAGGCCCGTTCGATTGAAGGAGCAAGCAATGCAAGTAACAGGGTTAATAGTGTGGGTGGAAAGGTGGATCACAGAGGAGGCCCGAGCACAAGGAATGTTAAATGTTTTTGTTGTGGAAATGTGGGACATAAAGCTAACGATCACCGATGCTCAGCTAGAGGGAAACAGTGCAGAAAATGTAATGGGACTGAACATCGATATGCGACATTTAACTGTCTTCTGCCGCTTTTTGCGCCGAAATTGTGCAAAGGTTGCGAACATTGTAAGTCCGCTCCACGCGCTTTTTTTTGGGGCAAGATCAAAGTGGGAAAGATGGGCCCATCCTACCCACTCAGGCAGCCAATCAGGAAACAGGATTCGCTTCGTATTTCCCAGGGGCGCCGCCAGCTATATGATAAATACGGTTATTAACCAGTTATAATCGCCTTTTAAACCCTGATGAAAAACCATATTTATCAGTTTAATTTTTATCGAGGGGCATGATTGTGTATAAACCAGTACGCAGAGCCTCATAAGCATCTGCAAGCAACTCTCGGAGACCTTAAGGCGAAAACTTACACTCAAATCCATTTTTGAAACCCTAACCTCTATTTAACTTGTTCATTCGTTCCTTTAAATTCGGAGATACGCGAAGACCCTCCCAAACCAGCACTAACCTTTTGCCCTTCTTTTGCCATTTCTTTATCATTAGAATTATTAAGTATTGTTACAAAATCGAGTCTGTGCTATGTTTCTTACTAAAGCTTAACAAATTAAGACACTTTCTTCTTTACATTCCCCATATCATTGGAGCGTTGACCTTTATTTCTTCCGAATGTTGTAAGGTAGGCCTGAAATGTGAGAGAATTGATCAAAATTAGAGATCGATATGGAACTGGAAATTTATGAAGAAAATAAAATTTAAGTTAGCACAGGTTTCATTCATATTTTCTCATACCGTTCTGACGTGGACCTTTACTTCCTCCTAAGTAGTTCACCTGTGGGTCTGAAATATGAAAAAAAATCGCTAGCGTGAGGGACTCGGACCTGAAAAGTGTGGCTCTCTTTAAAAAGCTTAAATGCCGAAAAAATCACTCAATTTCCGTTGCCAATTATCAGTGCACCCAACTATAAGAAGGGGTCTTACTTATCTAAACCCCTGATTTCTTGTTTTTATCACGAAATTGCCAGCCATTACCAGAATATTGGGTGCATGAATGAAATGATGGATTAGTAGATGAATGGAAAGATTGATGGATGGATGGATAGATAAACAACGGGGGTGGGGTTAGGGGAGTTTTAAAGAGTGATGCACCACACTCCCAAAACTGCCCGCGGCGCGCTAACTTCATTTTTTTGTCTCACTGAAATTTTTGGACTCGCTCAGCGAACTTCGCCGCAAGGAGGGATTGTTTGTAGCCTACAAAAATAACAACAAAAACCATTTTTACCAAATTTCTTTTGATAATGGAAACCGACTTGCCAATTCGGCCG